TACTTTTCAGTTTAAAACGTTTTAAATCTAGATTGGGGACCATGCTCAAAAGTGTACTCTATGGCTAGAGTACCTTGAGGTGTGTGATACCTGGAACAGGTATAGGCATGTAAAATTTTAGTTGGTTAACCCTTTTCCTGACTTTTAATTTGTGCATTTTCTTTGCCTCAGATTATTCTTAAAGGTTTACAATTAGGAAATTACGTGTTCTTAGTTGAATTGTTTTAAGATTGTATGACACAAGATGTTTTGTTTTAAAGATTCAGAAGACAATCCCCAGACATTACTTTTCTCTGCAACTTGCCCGCATTGGGTTTATGATGTAGCAAAGAAGTATATGAAATCCAAATACGAGCAAATTGATCTTATTGGAAAGAGGACTAAAAAGACTGCTATGACTGTAGAAGTAAGTTACTTGTTCCTAGTAGAATGGGGGTTGCTTTGTGAGCTCCTGCTAAACACAGTATTCTGAGTGAGAATATTTGTCTTATCTGCTCATCTGTTGCTAACTAATGTTAATTCTGTCTTCTGATAGCATTTGGCTATTGAGTGTCACTGGTCCCAAAGAGCAGCAGTCATTGGAGATGTTATTCAGGTCTACAGCGGTAGTCATGGACGGACTATCATCTTTTGTGAGACAAAAAAGGAAGCAACTGAACTGGCTCTCAATGCCTCAATAAAACAGGTGCAAAAAGAATTGTTTTGTATGTGTATCTAATTGGTTAACAAGGGAGTAGGGGAGCGATCAGAATTAAACACAAAATCTTTGAATCCTAAGGTATGGAGTCTCTCTCTTCATGAAAGCTAGTTATTCATAATGCTTTTAAACTTGCAGCAATTTCATCATGATTGTTTGTTGAACTATACTTATGTCCCTTGCAACTTTTGGTGTTCAGCAATTCCATCCCATTAGATCTCACTGGCTTGCATTTGTAAATCAGACCCCATTTGGCTGCATGACAATCTATACATTGTGTAGATAAAATACACATTTATGACCTATTCTAATGTCGTATCTTGTGGTTTCAGGATAAGTAGTGTTGGAGATAGTGTCTTTATTCCCTGTGTATGTGTGTGTGTTCCATTTTTAATGTGTTTATCTATACGGAATGATTTCAGCAGGCTATAATTCTCACAATGTCTCAGTCTTAGATTCTGGGAGTTTCTTGCCATTTCAGTTCTTGTATATGTTGTTTTTGACTGTAGATTCCTCTGGTGAGGCATGTATGCAAAAATGGAAGATACATAGTTTTCTATGAAAGGGAAAAAAGGAGATAATGATATATCAGAACTTGCGTCATGCATTCAGTTCCAGCATCCAAAGTGTGCATGAATGCTCTTATATGCTGCCTTTTGGAAAAAAGGAAATGGTAATTTGGACTGTAATGCTTGTTATTTTGTTTCATAAATTCTGTCCTTTGTGTACTCAGGATGCACAGTCTTTACATGGTGACATTCCACAGAAGCAAAGAGAAGTCACACTGAAAGGCTTTCGAAATGGATCATTTGGAGTTCTGGTGGCAACTAATGTAGCTGCCCGTGGTTTAGATATCCCAGAGGTTGATCTGGTAATCCAGAGTTCACCACCAAAAGTAAGTTACTAGTTTGGGATGGCAGGGAGAGAACTTGATTAAAACCTGCACTTATTTTCATATTACATGGCACATAACTTAGTTGAACTCATTATCATCCTGGCTTTCTGTCAGAACCTTTATTTCAAGTATATTGTGAGTAGTTCCTAATAATGATAAATATTATTAAATGCCATTTTATACATTAT